CCATGTGCCCAGGTCTGGGCAGCATTGGGCTGGAGGAACCACTGGGCAGAGCAGTACCCAGAACCCTGACCTGCTGTGGTTCAGTGCCTGTTCCCAGGGGTCCAGCTTTTCCTTCCCCTTCACGGCCTCCAGGGATGGCAGGGAGACCCTGACACCCCTAAGGACCCTGCAGAGGGATGGTGGCCTGAAGCTCTGTGGTGCCTGGGGATGCCCACTTTGAGCCTTGCCTGGAAATGAATTAGCTGGAGACCATTTTGGTGTCCCACTGAACAAACCCGAGTCTAAAGCCTTGCTCACTCCACAACCGAGCCAAGCAAGCAGAAGGGGAATGAAGAGGCCTTGGTTCCTAGACTGGGGCTCTCAATTCTGAGGGACTATGCAGCCTTGCCTTGCTGGTTACCCCAGGTTCCAGCATGTGGCTGGCTGGTTGAAGGCCGAATGCCACCCTTCTGGAAGCTTCTGCTGAGTTTGAGATCAGAAGCCGATCCAGCCTGGAGAGGGTTCAGAAGTTACCCTTAGGCCCTGCCCACGGGAGCTGGGCCATCTGTGGGTAGTTGGGGAGCGGGGAGGTGGTCAGTGTGTGGGCCAGATTTGATGGCTGAACCATCAACCTGAGAAAAGGGTTAACCAAAAGGGCTGCTGCAGCAGGTACAGCTATCTTGGGGGCGACGATCATAAGCAGAGGAAACCCTGGTGGCGCAGTGGTTAAGAGCCACGGCTGCTAACCAGAAGGTCAGCAGTTCGAATCCACCAGGCGCTCCTTGGAAATCCTATGGGGCAGTTCTGCTCTGTCCTACAGGGTCGCTATGAGTCGGAACCAACTCGATAGCAGTGGGTTTGGATTTTGTTTTTTTGTTATATGCAGAAGAAACAACAAGAGCTCAGCAGAAAGAGAAATGCAGTATTATTTTCAGTAAGGAATTTATTTCTCTTAAAAAAAAAAACGACAACAACAGTGGTTCAATCTAGATACAGCAGCACTGTGACATATTAGACAGAACATACATGGATTCAGAGCAGCAGGAGAATGAAAGCCTTATCTTCAGGAATGACCTCCAAAATGGACCTATTTTCATCATCACTGTTAACATCTCCCTGAAAAAAAAATAGAAACCTTTGGATACTAGGATGATTATTATTTTAACAATACCAACAGCCACTAAGCTCTCCTAATTGAGAACGTTTGTTTTGATCTATTACAAGATGACTTATTGATGGACTCAGGAAAGACATCTAGATTCTTCTTTTGGGGAAATGTCTTTCCTTCCTAGGGAGAGCTAGCTTTTCAAATGCTTTAAAACACTGTCCCCGGCACCAGCCTTTGAAGGTAGATCAGGTAAGACTCCCGAAACCTGTGCAGGTGTCTGACCTGCGCCCGTCTGAGCTTCAGAAGCTGGGTAGGTTGGTTGGGAGAGCAGTGCAGAAGGAGCCTGGGGGGGTGAAGCTTCATCCTGGTGGTCTGTTGTGATCTGAAGGAAGCCAGCCCTCAGTATGTCGCTTTGAAAAGCACAAAGATTTCACACTTACTCTCTTTCCACATCAAAGAAGGTCATATCTCAGAGTGTGGGGTTATGAAAACATAAGACAACCCAGAGAGATTGCCCTTGGAAGGGTACAAGTGTTCGTCTGGATACTCAAGCACACAAATAGCCCAAGAGGAGAGCTGACTGTCACGCGGGCAGCGTTCCTCTTCATCTGGGGAGACTTCTGGTTGGCAGACTTCTGGTTGGGAGACTTCTGGTTATCCAGGACATCCTGTTGCTTTGGCAAGATGTGGGATGCTACGCTCAACTAGGCCATGGGGCTCCCAAGAGGCTCCCCAAGGCCTGCCCCCTCTGTAGGAGAGTCGGTACATGATCTGGGCCAGCAGCTCACTTGAGAAAGGCACTGGGAAACCAGAACCAATGACCCAGCCTTTCAGGGAAAGACAACAGCGTGGAAGAAGAAGAGCTTTAATGCTGGGGCTGGGCTCTTTGGAGAACTCTCCGACAAAGCGTGGACCTCCCGGCTTCTCTGGAGGGCTGGCCCTCAGGGTCAACAAGGGCTGGCCTAGGCTCACGGGCAGGCATCTCAGCTGTGCCTTTAAAGCAAAGATGGCATCCATATGCTTGTCCCCAGAATGCACTGCCAACGTCATCCCAGAGGGCTGCCTGCCAAGCGTACACACACCCAGGGCTACAACTGCTTTCTTCCATGCAGCCTAGCCTCCCCTGCTGCTGCCCTTCCAAGACTGATATTCCCATTTGCTAAGAGCAATGCATCTCAGAAAGCAGGCAGACCCATCTGTGGCTGCTCAAGATATAGCAACGCTTAGCTACTGTGCAAATGAGCAGCCCTGGAAGCCTCATTGTTTCAGGAGTGAAGTCGAAGCTAAGAATGATTAGAGAACGAGTTTATGTCTGATGTGGATGCCATACTCCGTAAAGGCAGGGGCTGGGTCTTCTTGATATTATGGGTGATTCTTAGTCCCCTGAGGGGGCTCAAGAAATACTCATAGGTCATGGTGATGGAAGGGGAGACCACCCCATCCCACCGAGGACAGCAGCTTGTCTCCTGGAAGTGGAAGCAGAGACGCTTCTGCAAGACCCTGCGTCTCACCTCAAAGGCACTGAGTCAGCTACGTCTGGTGAGGAGAACATCACATGTAGAGAAAGAAAGGCCCTTCCGGGAAGAGCTCAGATGCATTAAAAAGAAAAAAGATTTAAATCCATTCAGCATCCAAATATGCCTTCTCCCAGAAAGGTAGATGGGTGGGAAAGTTTTTTGTTTGTTTTTAATTTACAATCATTTTTAAAAAGCAGCTATAGAAAACAAAGTTGGAGTAGGAGCAGAGTGAAGAAGAGATGGACAGGGCCTGTGATGACTTCAGGACTCAGAGGGAGTAAAGGGCTGATTTTTAGGCACTGCTCTAAATAAGGACGTCCCACGGCTTGTTACAAAGCAATGGGCCAAAAGGAACAGGAAGGTTAAAAAGGCCAAGTGACTCTGGCCCCGTCTCCTGGGGTGGTGAACAGGAAGGAAGACTCAAGTTATGTATGATACGAGTCAACGTGGAGTCCTTTGCTTTAATATCGTTTGAGCCCTTGTGACTTAGAAACGCAGTCACCAGACTTGGGGTTTCTTTCTTGCTCCTTGGGGACTCTACTGAAAACGGACACTGCATTAGCTTTGTAAGGGTTGAGGGGCCGCGAATTGAGCAAAAAGGATGAACCTTCTGGGTGGGAGGGTGGGTCGTGGCTTGGGCTGCTGACAGTCCTAGGGATGACCATCCTTTTCATCATGAAAAGAGGGTCAGCAAGAGCTTGAGGGTCTCAAAATACTGCCCAAGGAGGTTTCCACATCCTTGGCAAAACTGTATATGGCTGTTTGTATTTTTCTTGTATTCAGCCCGAGAAACATCACTGAAGCAGCTCCTGAGACCAAGGGCTGGTCTTGAAGAAAATAATACTGCAGATTAAAGGGGTCTGAGGGAAGCCCAGCTATGTCTTCTCTTCCATTTGTTTGGAAAATTACCTGGAAATGATCAGTCCCAACGTTCAGGCCCCTTTCTAGCAGCATGCCCCAGAGGCCCACTGGCCGAGTTTGGGGAACGTGCATGAAATTGGGCCAGGAGGGTGACATGCCTGCTACTCCCTCCTCGCTAAAAGCTTACGCTCTAAAGCGGCCTGGGTCCCCCAGAGACAGATTTAGGACAAACACAACTGAGGCCCCACTGGTGGCCTAAGGCGGGGTTCTCACACTCCCAGGGCGCATCAGAATGACCTGGGGTGCTTTAAAAATATACAGATACCTGGGCCCCACTCCTGGAGATGCCCATTCAGTAGGCTGGGGGGTGGAGCCCAGGAATCTTCATTTTAACAGACGGTGCAGGTGCAGGGCCCACACCGTGAGAAACTCTGATAGCTGCCGGGTGGCTGAGACCAGGTGTGAGGCAGAATCAGACACCAGGGACTCAGTGGGGCAGGGGCGCAGGGAGGGCGACTGCTCACACTGTCCTGGATGGGAGGTGAGGGTGGATTTGCTCCTTGCCACCTCATGGAGGCAGCAGGCAAAGGTCAGCAGGTCCCTGGGGTGGGATGGCCATGGTCAAAGGGCCTGAGGACTGTCTTCAGAGGCCCCTGGCCTGGCAACCCACCTGGTGGCTGCCGAAACTCTGAGATGCCCCACTAGAGCTCGCCTCTGCCCACCTCTCCCCAGAAGTGACAGTGAGTTTGTCTTGAACTTATTCGGTGGCCACACCTCTCCTCGGGCATCCATTTGCCTGGAGAGCCAGCCCCATCCATGCCACCTCAGCCAGCTCATCCGTGGGGCTGTGTGAAGCGCTCGAGACCCTGCGAACACCTAAGAAGCTTCCTGGAGCCCTGGATAAACCACTCCACTCCGCCTCTGTAGCACCGTTGGCTGCGGGAAGAGCTAGTGGGATGGATACAAAGATGCTTGCTCAGGATGACCCCACTGACTCTCGCTTCCTGATGCTTCTGTGGGCTGTAAGGGTTTGGGACACTTGGGTTTCCATGACTAATCCTTATTATCACTTATTATTTAAAAATAAAATAAAACAAAATCCCCCAAAAGCAAGCCTCTTGAAAACATACTGGCTTGAGCAGTCAGGACCTGCTCAGAAGGCTAAAGGCCCAGAGACCACACGGCTGAAGGCACCCACCTCTGTGCAACGGCCACTTCCAGGAGGAAGAGGAGGCTGAGGCTGAAGCAACAAGGGCCTGGTATGCCACTTGAGAGAAAGTGCACATCTCAGCAAAGCCGACCCCAGGCCACCCATGGGCCCAACGGAGGGTGTTCTGGCTGCAGGTGAAGTCCCAGGTGTGTCTTTCAGCATTTGATTCAGGATGTCATAAACCAACAAAATGGCGACATCAGTGTGAGGAAAAGGTTATCGAGATGGATGTAGGTAAATACAACCAATCCTTTAAAGGTGAAATGTGAATCATTTTCTACATTTAATAAAAACGTTTTCTCATTTGAGGCTCTCGAAGTCGAGATGTGTGTTTTTTTTTTTTTTTGTAAATCCCTCCCCACCCCTAAAATGTCTTAAAACACATGGCTTAACAGTGGCTGCACAGAAAATATACACCCTCAAAGTCTGACTTCCATTTAAATACAAATATACAAAATGTAAACTGAGACAATAGAGAAATTTACAAAACTTTTCTTTAAAAATAATAAAGACAAAATTCAGTTCTAGTTATGACGCTATTAAAATACGTGCAAGTTGTCACAGCCAGTTGGATTTCTATTGCGATGTTCGACAAAGACAAATCCAATCCACCCCGGCTGGAGGGCCACCTCTGAGAACAGACCTGAGTGGAAATTTCTTTGAGAAACCTTGAGGCTCTACTTCGAGGTGGTGGCCGCCTCCTTCCCCAGCTTCTGGCGGGGCTCCCCAACCACCCGGCCAGAGCATAAGTGCCACTTGTCACCAGTTCTGCGTCTGAGTGGAAGGGTTTTGGCTGGTTCCACTGAGAACAGTTGAAACTAGCTGCTTCCGGTGGAGTTTGAACTGACATGGTTTGAATTTATGTGGTGGTTGAAACTGGTCTTGGAGTTGGGCGTGCTCTTGGAGTTGTTCTGATGCTGAGGAGAGAGAAGAGAATCAGACACGTTGGAGGCAGCTTAGAAAATGCGGGCCTGGGCCAGGGGCTGCTGTGCTTTTCGTCTTTTGCATTCTCCCCTTGCAGACCTGGACCCGGGGGCCACCCCTGTGGGCAGAGGGCTTTAACTGCAAATGCAGGGTGGCTGAAACGCTGCCTGGGAAGAGCAGCAGGGTTAGTAGGAACCAAGACTTGAGAGGCTGCCCCTCTTGTCACATCTATGTGGGCTAAGCCTGTAGGCTCAGAGTTGGACTGTCTGGGTTGAATCCCACATCTACCACTTCTTAGCTGAGTGACCTTGGGCAGGTTATCGAATCTCTTGATTTCCATGCCTGTAAATCCTCAGGTAGTACAAAATGGTTAAGCGCTTGGCTACTAACCAAAAGGTTGGTAGTTCAAATCCACCCAGAGGTACCTTGGAAGAAAGGCCTGGCAATCTACTTCCGAAAGATCATAGCCATTGAAAACCCTATGGAGTGCAGCGTTACTCTGACACCCATGGGGTTGCTATTCATCCCTGTCATCAGAGAGGGAGGGGATGGGATTCCTGGAGCCTGAGGAGCAGAGCTGCACTGCCTCTCCTTCACCCTCCTGGGATGGGGGGCTGTGGGCCTGGCCCTCCGGGCAGTCTGCTAGGGAGTGAGAGGCAAGGGCAGGTCTCGCGGGAGAGGAGGAAAGAGGAACCAGGAGGGACAAAGGAGCCCCCCAGGTGCTGGGTCAGGAGCACTGGGATCCAGCGCTTTTGAAGGGCCATGCCAAGAGGAGGTGCTGTGTGCTTACTCTGTGGGTGTTTTGGGGGAGCAGTAGTCTCTTACCCTCTGGCCCGTGGCACCCCACATCGCTTTGGCCACATTGGCCCTTAGCCCAGGGGCAGGCTGTAGGACAAACATCTATTCCCCAAGAACTAAATCTCCTCCGGCTGCCAGCTGGAGGTCACCTGTCAGGTTCAGGGGGTCCTGCCCTGGGGGCAGTGAGGTTCTGTGGGGAAGGCCTCTCCGAACCACCTCTCCCTGCTCTCTATTACGTAACATCTCTACCTACAGAACTCAGCCTTTACAATGCCGTACAGAGCTGTGCTTCCCAACCTGGGGCAATTCTGACCCCCAGGAGCATCTGGTAGTGTCTGGGGACATATGTGATTATCACAGACATGGGATGGCGGGGGGATGCTACTGGCATCAAGTGGGTAGGGCCCGGGATGCTGCTAACATCCTACAATGCACACAACAGTCCCCCCACCATGACAAAGAATTAAGCAGCTCAGAATGTCAGTAGTGCCCAGGTGAGAAGCTGTGATCTGGGTAAGCTTTACCGTCCCATTTATAGAGGGGGAAATGGAGGCACCTCATGTCAAAGACTGTACTTTTGACCACTGGGCAACCCTGCCACTCCCACTGCTGGCAAACTCATCAACTGTTTTTTGGCTAAAGGACATTTGAGGATGGGTTGGCCTGCCCCTTCAGCCACAGCGGGTTTCTGGGCCTTTGGACAGGCTGGTGGCCCTTCCACGCTGCCCCTGTCCTGCTCTCCAAGCCCACAAGTGTGTAGAACCCTGCCTCTCCGGGCTCCACCGCAGGCTCTTCTGGGCCGGGGGTCCTCAGAACTGAGCCTGAATGGCCATCGTTGGCGGGTGGTTCTTACCTGCCGTTTGAAGATTCTCTGGAGCAACCCTTTCTTTGGTGGCTCCGGAGGGTGGCTTCTGTTCAGGTCCGGCGAGAGGGTACCGTTAGGTCCAAACACATTCAACTCCTTGAAGCATTCGGTTTCTATCATCTGCAGAGGCAGAGCCAAATACAGGGGCATCAGGGCCCAGCCTTGTGGGCGGGAAGGACCACAGCAGCCAAGCCTTGGGCAACAGCCTCACTACAGCCTGGTCCTACAGGTCACTGGTCCTCTCCGTCCATTTCACAGGGGATGAGACCCAGGATGCCACAGGGTGCACGGCCCCCTCCCCGCCCACTTCCTCTCCCATGAGAGAAAACAGAAGCTATCCTGGGCTGTGCTCATCTTCCTGCCAACTAATCCACACCCCACCTAATCCACATCCACATCTAATCCACACCCCACCTAATCCACATTCACATCTAATCCACACCCCACCTAATCCACATCCCAACTAATCCATACCCCAGCTAATCCACACCCCCACCTAATCCACACTCCCATCTAATCCATACCCCACCTAATCTATACCCCCATCTAATCCACAATCCCATATAATCCACACTCCAGGCTAATCCACACACTACCTAATTCATACACCCACCTAAACCACACCAAAACCTAATCCACACCCCCACCTAATCCGCGCCCAACCTAACCCACACACCCCCACCTAACCCACAACCCTGCCTAATCCACACTCCTGCCTATTCCACACACCACCTGATCCACAACCCACCTGATCCACAACTCACTTGATCCACACCTCCCCTGATCCACACCCGACCTGATCCACACCTCCCGATCCACACCCCACCTGATCCACACCTCCCCTGATCCACACCTCCCCTGATCCACACCCCCCACACCTCACCTGATCC